TACCATCCAATAATCAGGTTAAAAACAAAACTATTTGAATAACAGTGACCTTGATTTTTGACCTGTTGACCCAAAAATCAATAGGCTTCCCCATCTTTCCTATATATATATATTCCATCTGCATAAGCTCCATTCTAATCAAGCAAGGGTAACTCAAACTACTGTAAACCAGTTTTCCAATCTTTTTATTTTTAGTAACAGTGACCTAGACCATTGACCAAAACATCAATGGGCTTTCCCTCTTTCTCTATATCTTCCATCTTTATAAGTTTTATTCCAATAAAGCAAGGGAAACTCAAATTACCATCAGGAAACAATTTTTCCATCTCTTTCTATTTTAAGTTGCTGTGACCTTGACCATAGACCTGTCGGTAAAAAAAGTCAATAGGCTTTCCCCCTTTCCCTATATCACCCATCTTAATAAGTTTCATTCCAATAAAGCAACGGAAACTCAAATTACCATCTGGAAACATTTTTTCCATTTCTTTCTAATTTTCGTTACTGACGTTGACCTTGGACCTGTCGATAAAAAAATGCTCCGCCTGGAGCAGCTGGATACGACCGCAGAGGTCGAACTCTGAACAGTTAGGGCAAGTATGGACACAATATTCAAGCTTGATACAGCTCTGAATTTGGATAGTGATTAAATATTTGACACATTATAGATTTCTGACACAGAATAAATGTGGTCAGATAACTTAAAAATTTGAAATGGGACCTTTAATCTACTTAATGGTCCAATATCCAAAATCTAATTCCATGGTAAAAAAAAACATGAATTCAAACAAAGTTTAATTTTGAACCCTTTGGACCTTAATATGGACTTATTTGAAAACAGGGCCCAAAATTAAACATCTTAATGCACAGTTAGATTCAGCATATCATAGAACCACCAGAATTCAGTTTTTGATGAAAACAAACAAAGTCTAATTTTGGACCCTTTGGACCTCAATGTAGACCTATTTAAAAGTGTCCAAATATCCAATATAGTAATACATGGTAAAAACCTCAAACAATTCAAGACTTTAAATTAATCCTCATTGAAATTGGTTAAAAGATTTGTATTTATTTTCAATTGAAAATTTCTTGCTATTGTGCAATACTTTGCTGTTGCGTTATACATAGTAAATCTGTTTACAAACTAAATATAATAATTTACACACCCTGTTTGGTGTGTATCTCCTGCCATATCAATATTTGCTGTTTCTTTATATAGATCAGAAATAATTTTATGTTAGAACCAGCTTAGCCAGTATTTGAAAAGTGTTGTTTTTGGCCCTATTTGGCCTCTAGTTTCTTAATGATTAAAGCCACAACCCACAAAATCGACCCCAGCCTTCTGTGTGTGGTATGGAACCTTGTGGTACAATTTCATAGATATCCATTGACTAATACTTCAGTATTTGTCCGAAAACCAGAAAAACCTTGTTCCTAACCCCCTTTTTGCCCCTTATTCCTGAACGGTTTGAGCCATAACCCCCAAAGTCAATCCCAACCTTCCCTTTGTGGTATGGAACCTTGTGTTTCAATTTCATAAAGATCCATAACCAGAAAAACCTTGTTTTTCCCCCCTTTCTTTGCCCCTTATTCCAGAACGGTTTGGGCCATAACGTCCAAAGTCAATCCCAACCTTCCCTTTGTGGTATGGAACCTTGTCGTACAATTTCATAGAGATCCATACACGTATACACAAGTTATTGTCCGGAAACTAGAACTAAAGGCTCTCAAGAGCCTGTTTTGCTCACCTGTTTCTACTTTGGTTTTGGAAATCATGTAAAAATAGATTAAAATCATAACAGATACCCTTATAATGATTGAGGCCAAATTTGGTTTAATATTAGCCCCGTAATTTAATAAATAAATGTGGATAGTGTCCACATGTGGACACAGATGATGCCCCCACTTGCATTTCATATAGTTATAAAGGGACATAACTGAAGAACGGTAAAAGTGACACTACCCAAATTTGAACTTTATCCGAGTTTTGTGGTAATAAGCATTGTGTGTAAGTCTCATAACATTTGGTTGAGGCTAACTTAAGAGAACAGAAACTAAATATTCAGCAATTTTTCTATTTGTTTACATGCATAACTCTAGAACGGTTGTGTATAAATTTTATAACATTTGGTTGAGACAAACTAAAGTTAGAGAACAGAAACGAAAAATTCAGCAATTTTTATGTTTATCAGGGGACATAACTCAAGAATGGTAAAAGTGTCGACACCAAATTTCGTACTTATGTAGTAATAAGCATTGTGTACAAGTTTCATAACATTTGGTAGAGGCAAACTAAAGTTAGAAAACGGAAACAAAAAATTTGTACTTGATCTTAGTTTTCTGGTAATGAATATTGTGTATAGGTTCATAATATTTGGTTGGGGCAAACTTAAGTTACAGAATGGAAACTAAAAATTTTGCAATCTTTCGATTTTTAAAGGGGCATAACTCAATAATGGTTAAAGTGACACTACCCAAATTCAACTTGATCTGTGTTTTATCAGTGGAAGTCAAAATTAAACATTGCATTGTATAAAGCATTGAATGTAGTTGATTCAACTATAATCATGGACAAAGGAAGAGAATTCCAATATAAAAAAATACTTGACATTTAGAAGAAAATAAAAACTTTGCAATTTTTCCATTTATAAAGGGGCATAACTCTAGAACGGTTTAAGTGACGCCACCAAAATTCAAACTTGATCTGTGTTTTGTAGTAATAAGCATTGTGTATAAGTTTCATAACATTTGGTTGAGGCAAACTCAAGTTAGAGAACGGAAACCAATGTTGGGACGTACGTACGTACGTAGACGGACAAGGGTAAACCTTAAGGCCCCTACCATTACGGTGGGGGCATAAAAATCCTGGTGGCTATTTTGAACAGTAAATCGGCAACAAAGTAGCAACACTTCATCAGCACATCATAAGGAACATATTTATGCCATGTTTGGTTTCATTCCATTCAGTGCACCTCTAGAAGAAGCATTTGTATGTATTTCCTATAGGGTCTTATGTTAATCTAAGTCCCCTGCTGGCGGCCATCTGGGATAATGGTCCAGCTACAAAGTAACAACACTTGGTCAGCATCTCATTAGGAACATTCATGCCATGTTTGGTTTCATTCTATTCAGTGGTTCTCTAGAAGAAAACATTTGTATTTCCCATAGGGTCCTATGTTAAACTAACTCCCCCTGCTGGCATCCATCTTGGATGACAAATCAGTTACAAAGTAACAACACTTGGTCAGCACCTCAAAAGAAACATTCATACCATGTTTGGTTTCAATCCATTAAGCGGTTTTCTAGAAGAAGACATTTGTAAATATTTCCCATAGGGTCCTTTGTTAAACTAAGTCCCCCGTTGGCAGTCATCTTGGTTGATGGATTTGCTACAAAGTAACAACATTTGGTCAGCACCTCATTAGGAACATTCATGCCATGTTTGGTTTCGTTCCATTCAGTGGTTCTTCAAAAGAAGACTTTTATAAGTATTTCACATAGGGTCCTTTGTTAAACTAAGTCCCCCCCTGGCAGCTATCTTGGATGATTGTTTGGCTACAAAGTAACACTTGGTCAGCACCTCATAAGGAACATTTATGCCATGTTTGGTTTCATTCCATTCAGTGGTTCTCTAAGAGAAAACATTTGTATGTATTTCCCATAGGGTCCTATGTTAAACTAAGTCCCGCTGGTGGCCATCTTGGATGATTGATCGCCTACAAAGTTACAACACTTGGGCAGCACCTCATAAGGAACATTCATGCCATGTTTTATTTCATCCCATGCAGTAGTTCTCTAAAAGAAGACATTTGTATGTATTGTCCATAGGGTCCTAAGTTAAACAAAGTCCCCCCTGATTGCCATCTTGGATGATTGATCGCCTACAAAGTTGCAACACTTGGGCAGCACCTCATAAGGAACATTCATGACATGTTTTATTTCATTCCATTTAGTGGTTCTCTAAAAGAAGACATTTGTATGTATTGTCCAAAGGGTCCTATGTTAAACAAAGTCCCCCCTGATTGCCATCTTGGATTATGGATCGGCTTCTAAGTAACAACACTTGGTTAACACCTCATAAGGAACATTCATGCCATGTTTGGTTTCATTCCATTCAGTGGTTCTCTAGAAGAAGTTCAAAATGTAAAAAGTTAACGACGACGATGACAGACACCAAGTGATGAGAAAAGCTCACTTGGCCCTATGGGCCAGGTGATCTAAAAATGCCTTTTTTGGCCCCTTTTTTACCCCTAATGCCTAAACAGTTGGGACCATAACCCCCAAAATCAATCCCAGCCTTCGTTTTGTGCTATTGGACCTTGTGGTTAAATTTCATAGAGATCCATTCACTTTTACTAAAGTAATGGTCCGGAAACCAAATGTCTTCGGACGACGATGATGACGACATGATAGCAATATATGAAAGCAAATTTTTTGCGGTTGTATAAAAACCAATTGACTTTTCCCCTACCCTATATCTTCAATCTGTATGAGTTTCTTTCCAATAAATCAAGCAAAACTCAAGTTACCATCTGGAAACCATTTTTACCCAATCTTTTTATATTCTTAATTACAGTGACCTTGATCCCAAAAATCGATAGGCTTCTTTCCATTCCCTATATCTTTCATCTGTATAAGTTTCATTCCAGTCGAGCAAGTGATGCTAATATTACCATCTGAAAGGAATTAGTTCTGAACACGCAGATGGATGGACAGAGCAATTACTATAAACTCTCTAAAATTTTCAGGGAGTAAAAAAGACACAATGGTTCTTTAAGACCAAAACGAAAGATTTGACTGACAATTTTTAATCTAATAAAAGAACAGAGTTTCAATGTCCCCTGTATTGCACATATTTTATCTGTCCAAGGGCATTAACTATAAGAAAACTTTTTTTTTTGTTCTTTAATTATTTTTATAAATATCTTACGAGTTGCACGGGGACAAAAATATTATAAAATGTGTCTGCTTTTTAACTGTTCTCAAACACTGTTGTACATTACCTTCATGTATATGTCCAGATATATGATACAGTGGTTTTACTCTTTTCTGTATGGTATTGAGTAACTCTACACAGCCAACTCTACTGCCATCAAAGTTTGTATCACCATACCCTGAAACATACCATTTTATAATAACAAGGTCATGCAATAGACATGAAGATAACATAACAGCTGGTTTATTTCATAAAATATAAATGGGATTTTATTATTTGTTTGTAATGTTATAAAGTTTCCCCTTGAACATGTGTTGCATTGTCTTACTAATAGTTATAAAGGGATTCATTTAGTTTTCATTTAGCTTATAGCATTAAGTCCTAGCCTAACAAATCTATCTTACCAACAGGTGGACCATGTGTTATAAGTATGTCTGTTTTCTCTGGAATCCAGTTCCATTTCTTTAACATTTCTTCACCTCTTTCTAAATTAAAACCCCAGTCATTAAACCATGGCTGCCTACAATAAAAAAAAGTAAGATTTTCCATAAGAAATATATAAACAATATTCCCAACATCTTAACCATGAGACCATATACAATATACATGTATACAAATGTATTTTATTCTTGCCTAGTCTGACCTCAGTCAAATATATTCTATAGTTTAAAAGCATTTGCATCGTGTACAAACATTTTTAAGACAGCAAGGCCTGGTCTAACTGCAAATTCAACACAAGCCTAGCTAGTAATTAGGGCAGAACTTTCTGCTAGATGTGGGTAACGTTACGGCAATCTTCTACAAGTTTTGCTCAAAACACAAAAAAGGGTAAACATTGTAATTTAAGGGCATTAACTCCTATAAGAAGATAAGTGACAAATTCATCTGCATCTATGCTGACCTATTTGCAGATCTTATCTTGCTGATCATTTTTTATTTTTAAAGTGTCTATTTACATGTATCTATTATAGTTTTCAAGATAAAAGGCAAAAACTTAAAAATTGGTAAAAATTGTCAGTTACTCATATAAAGACCTGACCAACAATTTCATCAATATCAACTTACCCCAGTATTTGTAGATCCTGCCTTGTGAATTATTTTTACTTTCTTAAATTCTCTCGATCTATTATAATTTCAAAATAACAGATAACTAGCAAAAGTAAAAGATCTTCATTTCAGGGTGAAAAACTCCTACAAGGAGCCAACTGAAGATTTTTGCAATATATTGACTTATTTGTAGATCTTGTCTTACTGACCATTTTTTCTTGAAAGTTTCGATTTATCTTTTATACTTTTGAAGATAAAAGACAAAAGCACAAAAAAGTGGTAAAAATTTACATTAAAGGACAATTATTGCAACAATAAGCTGACTGACGATTTCAGCCATGCCAACTTATTTGTAGATCTTGTTTTGCTGATCGTTTTCGTTATTAAATCAATGTCCATCTATTATAATTTTGAAGATCAAATGCAAAAATGGAATAAACTGGTATAACTCATCATTTAAGGACAATAACTGAAAAAAAAGTTGTCTGACATTTTTGATTTAAATAGACAGACAGTAGATCTCATCTTTCAGAACATGTGTGAAATCCTTCAGATTTTCTCCATCTAAAGTTGTTTTAAAATTTTTTTTAGCCATGTCGGCCATGTTTGTTGGCATGCGGGTTCATCGGACATAAATTTTAAAGTAGATACTCCAATGATGATTGTGGCCAAATTTGATTAAATTTGGAAATTTAGTTTCAGAGGAGATGATATTAGTAAAAATTAACAGACAAAAAGGGATGACAACAGATGCCAAGTGATGAAAAAAAAGTTAGAAAGGATATGTAAGAGAAGTTATCTCAAGGATAACTCAAATAGTTCATTCAATTTTACTAACCAAGGGGATCCATAAATGTTAATACCATACAATGTAACCATAGAATCCTCTAAGTATACACAGTTAGTCAGCAGTTCCTTAACCTTGTTCACTCCATTTTCCTGTAGAAAAGCTTTAACTTCTTTTTTTTTTACATGCCATCTGCTAAGTTTCTCCTCCATTGCTTCATCAAAAGTTAAATCATGGTTGCCTGCGATTACAACTTTATGTTTATGTGGTAGTGTAGCTGAAATGAAAAATAAACTATTATTCGTCTAAACTGTCTCAAACAAATCCTCTTGATCTTCAATGTTCCCTGAGTTGCACCTATTTTTCATCTGTCCAAGGGCAATAACTATAAAAAAACTTTTTTTGGGGTTCTTTAAAACCTTTTATAAATATCTTATAGAAGTGAAGACTGGAAATCAAATGCCATGCAATTTTTGATATAATTAATATTTCCAAGGGGCTTAACTCTTTTAAAAATATATGATCAGCACTAACTTTTGAAAATGTCAGACACTGCTGATTTAAACCTTTGATATAAATTTGATAAAGATCCAGCAAAAATTGTACACATGAGAGCGCTTACAATGCAATTTTCCATATAATTATTGTTTCCAAGGGGCATTTCTCTTTTAAAAATAGTTGATCGGCACTGATTTTGAAATTTAAGTAAGAAAATTACTAAAGGTATACATAGACAAAAAATCAATTGAAAAGATGATGATGATGATAGATGGCTGCGGCAAATTAATATGCATATTCAGGACGAGAACATGTTAATGTAATATGAATATTTACCCTGCTTTGTACCAGAAAGACATCCTGAGCCGGATTTTTAACGTGCTAGTTCACAAGGTAACAGTCCCCAGGAAGACATGTCACCCTACCCGGACACATTATTCCGACTCAGAGCCGACCAGTCATTGCTCATACTCCTTATTATTATACTTCACGTTAAAATGCCATATTTTGATTGGCTAATACGAGGGTGTTAATTTACTCTATTACCCTTCATGGAGACGCTTGATCAAGTGTGCGCTTTATTAAATAAGACTCTATCCTATAGCAAATACTCTATTACCCTTCACGGAGACGCTTGATCAAGTGTGCGCTTTATTAAATGCGACTCGATCCTATGGCAAATACTCTATTACCCTTCACGGAGACGCTTGATCAAGTGTGTGCTTTATTAAATACTGATGGTTGTTATATACAAGACGTCATAGTTTATTACTTTGAATTTGAAATTTAATAGACAGTAATGACATTCAGTATAATAAATTAAACAAGCATTCTGAGAGTATTGCATGGCAATACATAGTCCCCTACCGGGTAAAAATTCATTATATTGGAACAAAATGCTAAATTGTTCTATAACTTGTCATGGTGTAAACAAAAAGTAAATATCATGTCAATATCTTCAAGCATGACTAAAAACTGTGTGGAAAACTGATTATATGAGTGAATTTTTCAAGTCCAAGGACCATAACTCTGCACAAAATTATTAGACCGAAACAAAAATTTGAACTTGATCTGTAACTTGTCATGATAAATTTGAACTTGATCCTTAACTTGTCATGATAAAACTATATACCAATTATCAATCAATATCTTATAAGCATGATGAAAAAAACATTCGATATGATTAATAAGATATGATGTAATACAGTGTATATCTATTTTCAAATTATAATCAAATATAATTAAAAGTTCCAAATATTTTTTCTTTCATTTATCACAAACTAATATAGATTTGTAACTTATCTATAAAATGTCAACAACTTTTATCTACACAATGTAATGTATTGAAATATATACATTAATAAAAAATAGTTTATTATCTAATCAAAGGATTTCTCTTCATAATTTTTTTTTTATATATATAGCATTCAGAAAATTAGTTTATACTAAATAACAAACAAACCTCCCAAAAATTCTTCAAATAATTTAACAAAGAATGTCTTTTAAAATATGAGTTATCTCCCTTTGAACAGAAATATGGTTTAACATAGTACTCTAACATTAGATATGGTCCACAGTTATGGTCCATAACTCTAGCCTAAATCATCAGACCGGAACAAAATTCAAACTTGATCTATAATTTGTCATGATAAAACTATATACAAAATATCAAATCAATATCTTCAAGAACGAAGAAAAAAAGTGTGGAAAGCTGATTTGCCGGACTGACGGATGGACAGACGGACAGACAAACGGAGTGCAAACCTAAAGTCCCCTTCGACTTCGTCGGTAGGGGACTAATAACACATATCTGAGAGGGTGATAGAGCAGATTATTACCCCTCGAAAAGACATTGTCAACCTTGGCTTCACCTCAGTTGACAATGTTTTCTCGGGGTAACAATCTGCTCTATCACCCTCTCAGTTATGTGTTATTTATATAATGCTGCATGCTTAGCGGAGAAGCGTCAAATACCAATTTCAAAGTCTTTGGTTTGACCAGGCCGTGGTTCAAACCCACAACCTCCTGCACTCGAGGTGAACACGCTACCATTAGACCACCGAGGCAGTCTATTGAAAAGAAGGAAACATTCTACCGTAACTAAAGTACTATTATTCGCAATAGGGAATATTATGATCTATTATCAAAAGGCATGAATCCCAAAAATTGACTCAAATAACAAATTTATGATATAGAAAATAGACTTCAAATTTTAAAACAAGGCAGCTTTCTAACACTTATCATGAAAAAGCTGACTTGTTTTCTGTTTTCAGCTGATAGACCAGGAGTCTGACATTAGCTGAAAGTCAGAAGGACCCTTTCCTAAATTCTGGGGTATAGCCAGTTCAATCGTTAGGAATTCAGGAACTTGAGATTTAATAGTATCCTGATGCAGGAATGGACACATTATATTCACCAGAATTCTGGATTTGGCACATATTTTCTTGAGAATTTCTGACTGTGACACCTTCCTATCCCCTTCCTTAGATGACATTGTTTTTTTTCTTGCAACATAACTGATGATAATTTATATGGAATATATGTCACCATCCCAAAAAAGTCACACTGCAGACAAAATGGTTTCCCGTTCTAGATTTATCTAATTATCAAACTCATTTGTGGTTTTGATGAATTAAAGCTTTCATTCAAATTTGAAGAGAACAAAAATTGAAGGCACTAACATGCATATGGCAACAAAAAAGTGATGACGGACATTAAGAGGGGCAAAACTTTATATACCCTAAAAACTTTGTAGTGTGGGGTATAAAAATATTAGAACAGGGTCCACAATCCAAAGTGACATACACAGATTTATATTAAGTCAAAAGGGAAAACAAACTAATCTGTTAGTTGTAAATGGCCTTAACTAGCTTCTCGTAACTGTAAGTACTCATATATCAGCGCTTTGTGATTATTGTTTTTATGTTAGTTGTTTTTTGTGTGCATTATGCTGATTTATTGAGTTAAGCCATTTGCAACTAATTCTAATACAATGTAAGTTGTTCTTATGTTGTGCTTTAACACCACTGTCCCAGGTTATAGAGAGATTTGAGCTCTCGAAAAAATGTTAAACCCCACAAAATCCTTATGTGCCTGTCCCCTTTTTATATAAACACACATTTGGCTTTGTTCTTCTCCCTATCATTATACGTGTAAATTGAGTAGTTTTCTAAATGCTCTATCATAATAATCTATTTTCATACTATACCTAAATAATCATTAAACTTCTTTATTTCTTTTGGTTGACCAACATTGGTGATGTCGCCAGCATGCAAGAGAACATCCCCATCAGGAACAAAATCTGTTGGACAATACTCAATTTTAGCATGTGTGTCTGATATGCATACAAAGCGGATCTTATCTTCTGTGACTGGTGTCTTTGAATTCATATGTTTGACTTTCTTTTGATTTTGTTTGACTTTCATCTTTTCCCACACTTCGGTTGCATTCTTCGACATGGAATCCACCTGAATGATTACAGGTCCATCTAAACATAGACACATTAGAGAAGTGTTATATAACAAAAACTACAAGCTATGCCAGTTAGATAAATGATATGCCTCACCTTCAAAAAATAAAAGTAACAAGCTTCTGGAGTTAATTAACATATTGAAAATATTAAAGGCGACCAATATACAAAATTAAACGATATTAATATTTTTTTAACTGTGTAGTACTAAAGAACTATCTTTGAGAATTGTAGTTATTAAAGTCACAGAGATATCATCAATGGTTTATTATAAAATGACCAATTTACAAAACTTAACCAAAGTCACCCGCAGTATGAGAAAAAGGTTATAATTATGACCAAAAATGTTACAGAAAAATAATGTACTGTAGACATCACGGACATGGTAGACATAGGGGTAGATAAATAAAACAAAAACAAAGCATATATATACTTAACTAAATGAGGAGGTACAGACAAAAAAAAATGTTAATCTATATCAATTTATATGCCTAAACCACATTTAAAGTAGGACATTTATATAAAAAACCTTCTAGCTGCTTTTAGCAAAACAACTTGGTGGTCTAATGGTGATTTCACAACTGCTTTGCAAAAGGTCACCTATTCCAATCCTAACTTTTTCAAGTCATATAGCCTTAATCATTAAAAAATGTCACTCTCAAGAAAGTCATAAAGCAGAAAACAGGGAATGTTCATATGACATTAACCTGTGTTCATCCTGAATATGCATGTTGTATTTGTCACTGAACATTAAGCACTCATCAATCAATCAGACATTGAAAATATGTGTAAGTTATAATAATATAACATTTAATATTAAATGAATATACTGTCCAAGCTTTGGTTGTTGTTGTTATTTGTTATTTACATATTTTCATGGTTTGCATTGTGTTGGGTTTTTTTGTCTTTGTCAGTTTTTTTCATTTTTCATTTGTAGCTTTAATTTAGATATATCCCAGTAGTTTCCCAGCTGCTCAAGTAAATAAATGTAGGCTTTCAGTCTGGTCTTGATGAAATTACAGAGGTCTCCTAACATAGGACTTGGTAAGTTGGCACAGTCCTTTCTCATTAGATTCATTTTGAAATCATTCAGTTCTTACATTTTTGTACATAAAAAAACAGCATCTTAAATGTGAAGAACGACTGACCACTGATACTTGTCATGTTTAAATTGTTGATACAATGCCTATTTTTTTTTTCTCAAAAGGTAACTTCACATCATCATATCAGGTCATATCTAAAGTAAAATTATGTACACCAAATACGTTCTGAATATTTATTTATCAGGGGATCTTCTTAAACAAGTGATTTTATGATCATTAAACATGTTTAAACAAATTAAAAATTTCACCTTGTTAAGTGATTTTGATGGGGTTTTTTTTATTTTGAGTACAGATTTCATGAATTTGCCCTTAATGATATGTTTTTTTAATTTGCTTACACAGATCAATTATCCATTTGTTTAATGCATTGTATATCAATTTCAGTGGGTTGCAAGGCCAGTAAAGTAGTGCTTGTAATCTTTAAAAGGATGTTAAGGAACCCCTTCAGAATTTACCTGTTATTAAATATTTAAATACTCATTAACTATAGTTAAGACAGAGGTAAACAATTTTCTTTATTATTAAAATGATCATGAGGACTGACTTTAGTTTTGTCCTGAATTACAAAATATACCTGCTTATGCTTTCTTCAAATAAAACTGTAAAATATTGAGTGAAAGAGCACTTCAATGTATACATAATTCATCATGTTCATTAAGTGTCTTTTCAATGGGATCCTTTTTTTTAACCCTATAACAACAAGCATGTGGGGAAAATATCAAGATAAAGTTGTTTTCATCTAGTTGAGCGATAAATTCTTATATATAAAATTACTGATTTATTGGATTTTAAATATTCTGTGTCAAATTTTGTTAATATCTTTTTTTTCTCTGATGCCATAATAAATAAAAGAACAGAGTTCCAATGTTCCCTGCGTTGCACATATTTTATCTATTCAAGGGCAATAACTAAAAAAAGTACTTTTTTTTCTTTAAAACAATTTATTTCTTAAAGAGAAAGCTTCAGAGCAAATGCAATGCGATTTCCGTTATAATTAATTTTTCCAAGGGGCATAACTAGTTAAAAATATTTGATCAGCACTTATTTTCGAAAGTGTCAAAGACATTACTGATATAAACCTATGATATAAGTTTTAAAAAAATCTGGCAAGAATTGTACACGATGCAATTTTCCATATAATTAAATGTTTCTAAGGGCATAACTCTTTTAAAAATAATAGATTGGCACTGACTTTCGAACTTGTCCAAGACATTGCTGATATAAACCTATGCTATAAGTTTCATAAAAATCTTGCAAGAACTGTACACCTGAGAGTGCTAACAAGACGGATGGGCAGACGAACGGACAAGCGTACGCCTGGTATTTCCATGTCCCCCGGAACGCATTTCGCTCGGGACAATTAAACAGGTGATCCTGAAATCACATGTTTGAGTAGTACCCCTGACTGTTCATGAAATTAAATTTAAAAAAAATAAATACCTTACCTTTTCTATAATATTTATTTGCACTTCAGTCTTGAAAATAATGTGGAGGCAAATGAATGCACAACATTCCATACCAGATTTCTACAGCCTTTTGTAAAATGAAAGCAGAGTATGATTCTTTACAGTCTAGTGCGAAGGTAAAAAGATAATCAAACTGTTATATTTAGTGTATTTATCCTAATACAGTGGAACCTCGTTATGTCGAAGTCGAAAGGACAGCACAAAAATATTCGACTTATCCGGGGTTCGACTCATCTAAGGTCAATTGTGGATTCATAAATTTGGAATCCATGAAATACGGTATGAGATTTGTGTAAACTAGATATTTTGAACAGACTCAGCGTCTTTTTTATATGACACTTTATGATTGTGTATTCTTTCTCTTTATTTTTTTGTCCCTCATAATAATTAAACACACAAGCACAGATACATAAAATTCATTAATAAACTGCTTCGCCGAGCGCAGCTGGATACGACCGCAGAGGTCCAAACCTGAACAGTTGGGGCAAAAATGGACACAATATTCAAGCTTGATACAGGTCTGAATTTGGATTGTAATTAAATATTTGACACATTATAGGTTTCTGACACAGAATAAATGTAGTCAAAGAACCTGAAATTGGTTATATGATTTTTTTGAATTTATATTCAATTGGAGATTTCTTGCTTTTGTGCAATACACTGTGCTGTTGCGGAATACTTAGGAAAAAAAATTGACCCCCCTAAAAAAAATGTTTTACCCCCCCCCCCCCCCCAAAAAAAAAAATATTTAAAGAAATTTTCTTTTTGCTTTCTTAAATTTGAGTGAAAAAAATTGCACCCCCGAAAAAAAAAAAAAACAATTTTGTTTATCCCCAAAAAAATTATTTTTTTGACCCCACCCTCTTTTCCAAAAAAAAGATACATTTGAAGAAATGTTTTTTTTGTAAAATGTGGTACAATGTGAGAGACATCAATACATTTAAACACAAGTAATTGTCTGAAAACTAGAAAAATGCTTGTTTAAGACCCTTTTTGGCCCCTAATTCCTAAACGGTTGGGACCATAACCCCTAAAATCCCAGCCTTCCTTTTGTGGTAATGAACCTTGTTGTAAAATTTCATAGAGATCCATTCACTTAAACTAAAGTTATTGTCCGGAAACCAAATGTGTCTTCGCACGACGAAGACATCATAGTATTATACGAACCCCAAAAAATGTTTGCGGTCGTATAAAAAAATCAATACACAAATATTTACAAAGGTTAGTCCCCATAAATCATGAAATCACTTGCGGAACGAAACAAGTTGATCAAGGGTCGTCTGCTTTGCGTTCAATTATTATAAATTGATCATAATTGTCTTAATCCTTTTATTTATTGTAATAAATAGAGTTTTATTCTAACAATGTATTTAATCTCGGCTTGGGTCATTTAAATTCGTTTCATTTTTATGTACGGGTAAAATATGTTCAACATACTAACGTTCCGCTTGGACAATCAACAAAGGTGTTAAATACCGGACACCATAAACATGTCATTTTAACTTTTATACACACAAGTATGTTTACACAGCTTTAATCTCTTTTGAAAATGATTAGACAGCATAAGAAATATATCTGATTATAATTTTTATCATTAAGTCTGCATCTTTAGAAATTTCTTACTTTTGAACTTCGAGACATCGAGGTCAGTTTACATTAGTTTTATATCGAAGGGGCTATAAAGTTTACTCGACTTAACAGAGTATTCGAATCAACAGAGTTCGACTCATCAGAGGTAAATTTACATTGATCAAAAATGAATTTTACCGGACCGAGAAATTACTTCCGACTTATCCGAGTTTTCGACACAACCGAGTTCAACACAACGAGGTTCGACTGTATGTCAAAAATACAACCTGCAGACTCTTCTGTTTTCTCATTTCCAAACATCATATTCTTTAATGAATTAAACATGGTTACCATTGGTTACAGCATTGATCATGTCAACCTACAATGTAAAAATGTATCAATGTCATTATATGTACATGCAGTGTTATATCAATGTCATTATATGTACATGCAGTGTTATATCAATGTCATTATATGTTGCGGAGACGATTTGAATTGTGCAATGGAATAAATTGTTCATATAAAGTTCGACGAGTTGGGATTTGGGAGTTCGACGATAATGTTATACCAATAGCATTATTATATCCATAACATATAACTTACTCGAATGTTTGTTAATAACTACGTTTTAATCCAATATTTACAATATTTACAATCATTAAAGGCAAACTATTTGAATACTTTCAGTTATTTTACTTTGTTTTTAAAAACATAAAAACGCAGTGTCATTAAATATGTAATTGATACAAATACTTTAAATATTTCAAGTGATCATCAAAAAAGACAAAAACAAAATGGATCTATGTTTAATAAGTATTTAGTTCGTAAATAGATATTTATTTCTATAACTAACCTTATTCTAACAAAACAAAAGACGACAACCATTTAATACTGAGTGTATTGTAAATCAACATTTAAATGCCTCTCCGTTACGTATTGTCAGTTCGAACAAAGAGTTGTATATGATATGTATCTATCTTTACAGTACTTGCAACCTTAGGCGTTACTGTTTGACGTGAACTTGACTGTTTGGTGAATGTTCGGTGATCGCTGACCCATAGCTTATTTGACGTAATCTGAAGGATTATATGTGAGAGTTACCGGGGCAACAATCAGCGATCAACCCGTCCTTTACTTATATACACGGATCTGACGGCTACATATATATCAAAAATTCGTATATGAAACGAGCTCCGTAATATAAGTATACAGATACTTAAACTTTTGTGTTTGTTGAATAAGAGTGAAATTATTTCTTTATTTAAATGTAAATGCATACACCATCATTGTTCTAAGCGCTTTTTGAACATTAGCATTGGTAGGTCTGCATAATATATGCTGAATACTAGGGAAATGATACTTAAATATTGTTTGCATCGTTTAATAATGCCCATATTTCCTCTTTTTATAAGAGTCAATTCCATTTTATTTGCCATCAGTCATTTCAAAATTACCACTGAATGAATTTATTTAATAAAATGTTTGTAAAAAAACAGAGGAGGAGGATACCAAAGGGACATTCAAAATCATTAGTCGAAAATAGACTGACAAACGCCATGGCAAAAAAAACGAAAATGACAAACAGACAAACAACAGTACTCAAAACATTACATAGAAAACAAGAGACTAAGCAACACGAACCCCACAAGAACTAGGGGTGATATCGGATGCTCCGGAAAGGGAAAACAGATCATACTCCTCATGTGTTGCTCATGTTAGTACAAACCCTAGGATAAGTCTAATTCGGTAGGTCACATGTTGGGTAAAGGGGACGGGATTGTAGTTAAGACAATTGGAACATGTATGTTGTCAAAGTTTTATTTTCGACGACCCTCATTTTCACTTTATAGATGTAAGTCAAGATATGAGGCAGACTTAACTGCATATGTTGTATCCTTTGTCTAAAGTTCGATGGGATTGATGCGTTCAACGTAGTCACTAAACTTTGAATTATTTAGTGAGTGAACATCATCTATATAGCTGAAAGTGAAGTTAAAGGATACTGCTTCTTTTCTTTCTTCATAAGATGTTCCTGTATGAAGTCAGGCTCATATGAATAAAGGAACAAGTCGGCAAGAAGTAAAGCACAGTTGGTTCCCATGGGAATGCCGAATTTTTTTGGAAAAACACGTCCTCCAAACGAAACATATATGTTGTCAATCAACAAATCAAGCATCTTGGTAATGTCAGTTTGAGAGAAGTTTTTGTTTGATTGTTTAATTTTTTTATAAAGTACGATTAGTCCATCCCCAAGACAAGAAACTTGTTTCTACGTAAGCCATTGTTTTTTTATGAAATAAAGCAGGACCAACTCTTTCAATTTGTCTATCTGTTCGGAATGAGGAATACTTGTGAGGAAAGGCAAATGTTTTAATACTATATAAGATGAAAGAGTCTTAGATTGCATGCACTCTAAACTTTATAATTTTATAATTCTTTGTTATTATATGACTACACATTTACTGTTTTCCCATTTGCTAAAAGCATAGGGAATCTTTGATAAAACATTATAATCACCGCAGAATAAATCGCGAAAGGATAATATAAGATTTGGAACGTCGTCCGTGTACCTAAATAAAGATATTCCAATGCAACGTCAATGACGTAGGTTTATGACTTCATGTAATTTCTTGTTTTTCTTTTTCTTAATTTTTTCGGTGTATTTTTTTCATTCTGTTCTTCTTGTTTTCGGTCGTTGGCCTAGGTGAAAATCATATATCTGGGGTTGCTAAATCATTGTATCAACCTCATCAAAAGTCAATAATTGTATATTATTATCTGCATTATATTAAAAATAATGGTTTAGGTAATACTATTCATCAGATTATACGTCTAGACTTTATCATATGTCATTCAACAGCTTATTTCGTACTTTTGTCACTGACATTTTTAAGAATTATATCAAAGTAAAACAGATCATAACTTCAGATATAACAACTATTATACAGAGACTAGTTAACTAGCTACGGTGAGGACGTGATCAACAGATATATTCCGTTCAATTAAGAATTGATTCAGTAAGATATGTGTTCATTTGACTCAACACATTCCTGTTTTATACAAAGGCAGTGGCGTAGCTTGCATGTATGCTTAGATGACCAACCGTTTATTTATTCCAATCTTGGTATAGATCTCAAGTAACATCATGGACTTGGAGTGGGCGGGTCATTTACATTTACTAAAGGCAGGTCAATCAGACCTCACCTTTGATTGCAATAATAGTAAGGCATTGTCTGATTTGTGTCATTGTACCATAGAACTTAAATTGAACAAACTCAGTGTTCTCCACAGGGAAGCAAGTCAACAACTCACACTCATGATTGCAAAGTCGTACCACGCCAACCAACTGATACCACTAAAAGTCAACTCAAATAAACATTTACTACTAAATTTTGGTATTCACAATATAATTCTGTCTGATAGACCTATCAGAGACCATGAGTCAACTTACAACAAAGGCAGACTAGAGCATACTATATTAAATGACATATACATTGTATGTATAAAATTGAATGAAAGAAATAAAATTTAACATAATTTTATCTCTCTGACTCTCAAACTGCTCATCTTTTTAATTTGTCGAAAATCAAACTTTGATCTGACCCTAAAAAAAGAATATCCCATGATCCCATAATGATTTCGTTTCAATTTCATGGACAAAACTTGTGTAAATATATTTTATCATGATTGTATGTCTAAATAAACAATATAAATTATTGTATTTGTTTTTATTTCAACTAGATTCCAATTATTGGCTTTAATATCCTAGAAGTGACAAGACATGCATGTACAATATATGATACTATCTAGTAGCTGCATTGACTAGTCATCATAATAATTCCATGACCGCTATGAAACTTTAGACCTTTTTGATGTTTTGAATATAGTTATAGAATATATGTATATTTACAGATATGATCAAAGTACATGTATCTATGAAAATTTTTACCAGGTCTTATAATATGACGACTAGTCAGACAAATTTTCGTTCAGAATTCTAACAGGAATTTTTACAAAATTGCCAGGGGTTACAACACATGAATATAATTTGTCATGGAGTTTACTGTAACGGTCCAGCTATTTTTAGAGGCTGTCTAATGATAATATTAGAACTATGACATGTCTGTGCAACTGTTACTATAAAATGTGGGAGATATATGTACATCGTATTATTGCACACTATCAATACATATACAAGTAGTAACCCAGGTATCAGCTAAATAAAGATAGTTTGAATACATAATGATGATACAATGTGCAGATACATGAAATATGTTTTATAGAGTATGTAAGAAATGAAGAATATAAACATATTAAAAAAAGACAGACAAAATATTTGTATGAAATTTGATGTATATGTAATAGGTTGGACACTTAGAAGTACAATAATGTAAAAGAAAATTAAAAGCATTTCTAGCCCAACAACATAATCTTTTTGTGTAATATGATCCATGCATGATAAACAATAAAATTACCACACATCAGATTGTTCCCAGTATTATTAAATCAGTTTTTGTACGGAGTGACACCTGCTGATCTAACTAAAAATGCTGATGTGGCATATGAAAACTCTTAGAACATTTTGGAATTAAACTATATACCACTGTGGAAAACCTTAATTCTGATGATAATATTCCTGCATAAGAAAAATTCATTCACCAGTGTATTGAGAAGTTGATAGAAGTAAGCATCTGTATGTCACATATAGCCTGTAACAATGTGCAAAACCCATACTGCATAGTATAAAGCTGTAAATGGCCTTGAAATGACAAATGTAAAACAATTCAAACAAGAAAACCAGCGTCCTGATTTATGTACAAATCAATAATGAAAAATAAATATGATATACAGCAACAAATGACAACCACTGAATGATTTGGACAGACACACACGTAAGCTGGCAGGGTTAAACATGTACTGGCGCCAGACCTTCCCCTTACCTGGGACAGTGTACATACATCTTCTGAGGTATTCAATTATCGAAAGGATACATATTTTAAAGTAATTTAAAAATGAATAATTAACGTTTGAAAAAAAATAGTATATTGTTAGTGAAAAGTGTGTAGGATAGTGGAAATCAGTACAGCACATGACAAAAAAAAAATCTGAAACATGAGATATAACAAGCTGTGATAAACAATTTAAGCAACACTGCCACAGTTTTCATCATGTTTTTGATTAACTGCCTATAGCGCTTACAATGCTTTGATTTTACATCTGTACTGCCTACTGGCGACTCAGTCCTGAGTGTAAATGGTCATTCAGTATGTGAAGAAAAAGACCAAAATTTATAAGGCCTATCTATCTGGACTAATTGATTTCTAAAATATATTTCATTGTACATGTTCAACATTTATCATTCATTTGTTTATTTCTTAATTTGTGTGAATTAACAGTAAATGTTAATTACTACACTTTCATACCATATCAAAACTGCCTTACTGTATTGGTATATCTTATATTTGTATCCATAAAACAAAAAAAACTGAAATACGTTTTTCATATTGAATACTAAAACTTTTTAGATATTTAGACATATTAAGTAGATGTTCACAATATCCACTTGACATTTTATCATATGACTTCTGTAGTTAGTTATGAGTCTTTGAAGCATGCTCACAAAGGTTCTTTTGTTGATATCATTTTCATACTGGTCAAAACTTTTTTTTTGGTTTGACCAGCTTTGGAGGAGATATATTCAAAGAATTAATAAAAAATAACACAGAAATTCACTTTCTAGCTCATCAAGCCCCAATCATCATGTCAGGCATTGTTATTACTAAAAACTAGGGATGTCAACGAGTACTCGAGTATCGCTCGGTAGTACCGAGTATCGAATACCTGTAAGAATGTTGTTGCCTTCTTAAAGAAATAATATTTTTATTAAGAGCACCTCCCGCGAAATCAAATATTAATCATAATTAATCAAAATTACGTTTCGAATGTTTGCGTTAAATTGCCATTTAAAATTCCTCCAAACATAGGTGGACTATTAATAAGAGCACCTTTCCAAGACTTACACTTTTAGCGTAGCGCGTCTGAGTCATTAAACTATCTCTGTACCGTCAGAGCAAATATTTTCATCAGCAGGACTTTTAATTACGTAACAAAGTTGAGAATCGACTCGTCACAGAAAAAGCTGACAAGATAATATTACTTAATAAGAACAATTTTGTTGCACCCTGTATCGACCCTCAGTAAATGGTTAAAGGCATCCGTAAGTTCTAATCATCACCCTTTGCTGATCATTAAATGTGTTTTTATAGGATTCCCAATTACTATTGTTTGAGTAATCTTTTTTTCTATAGATGTTTATTAATTTATTAATTAGATCATTGCCAGCTTACATAATTAGTATATAGTATAAACGTCCTAGGACTATTATCTAGTCCTGGGTAATAAAATTGAGGGTTTACGTCCATAAGACAACGTCCCACAACACGCAAAATGGGTGTAATTTTGTGTTTCCATTTTGTAGATGTTTTTTCCGAGCGAATACTCGAGTATCGCTCGGTAAATCCAACGAGTACTCGATTAGTAAATCTTCACCGAGTTGACATCCCTACTAAAAACCATTAAATGTCTTCTAATCTGAGAAACAATTTCCACATTTAACCGAAATCTTTTACTTATGATACTGACGATCCACCACAAAGTAATATAAATAGAACCATACAAATAGTAAGTAAATACATGTTCTCAGATACCATCTCCCATCATATATATATAGGAATATGTGGTATGAGTGCCAATGAGGCAACTCTCCATCCAAGTTACAATTCATAAAAGTAAACCATTATAGGTCAAGGTACGGCCTTCAACACGGAGCAATGGCTCACACCGAACAGCAAGCTATAAAGGGCCCCAAAAATTACTAGTGTAAAACCATTCAAACGGAAAAACCAACGGTCTAATCTATATAAAAACGAGAAACGAAAACACGAATGAACTACATAAACAGACGACAACTACTGTAATCAGATTCCTGACTTAGAAGAGATGCAAACATTTGCAGCGGGATTAAACGTTTTAATGGTACCAAACCTTCTCCCTTTTCTGAAACAATAGTATAACAGTACAACATAGAAAAACACACTATAAACAAGAAATGATTGTAACAGGATGCTGTTACGAAGTCTCCCAAACGAAGCTCCCATAATTCGTAATTCCCAGGGTCGCCTGACATTGGGCAACGTCCAGTGAAAATTGGTTTGGTCCAGTAAAGTTATATGCATTAGTGATGCCTGGGGACTAACCTTGTATATCATTCAAATCATCTTGGCATGACAAACCAGAATATATATGGTTTAGGGGTGGGGATCTCGACCATTTACAAGATACTAGAACATTGGGGGTGGGGAGGAACCCCTGGGGACTGACCCTATACGTCATTCAAATGTTCATTACATGACGAACAGGAATATATATGGTTTAGGGGTGGGGATCTCAACCATTTACAAGATATTAGAAAATTGGGGGTGGGGGGAACCCCTGGGGACTGACCGTATACGTCATTCAAATGTTCGAGACATGACAAATAGGAATATATATGGTTTAGGGGTGGGGATCTCAACCATTTACAAGATATTAGATCTTTCTCAAATGGCAGGGGGTCGGGATGACACCTGGGGACTAACCCTGTATATCATTCAAACCATCTTCGCATGACAAACCAGAATATATATGGTTTAGGGGTGGGGTTCTTGACCACTTAGAAGATATTAGAACTTTCTTAAATGGCAAGGGGTGGGGTTACCCCTGGGGACTAACCCTGTATTTCATTTGATGTGCTTTATCATGACACACCAGAATATATATGGTTTAGGGGTGGGGATCTCCACCATTTACAAGATATTAGAACTTTCTCAAATGGCAGGGGGTCAGGATGATCCCTGGGGACTAACCCTGTATATCATTCAAACCATCTTAGCATGACAAACCAGAATATATATGGTTTAGGGGTGGGGATCTTGACCACTTAGAAGATATTAGAACTTTCTTAAATGGCAGGGGGTGGGGGTGACCCCTGGGGACTAACCCTGTATTTCATTTGATGTGTTTTATTATGACAAACCAGAATATATATGGTTTAGGGGTGGGGATCTCGACCATTTACAAGATATTAGAACTTTCTCAAATGGCAGGGGGTCAGGATGACCCCTGGGGACTAACCCTGTATATCATTCAAACCATCTTAGCATGACAAACCAGAATATATATGGTTTAGGGGTGGGGATCTTGACCACTTAGAAGATATTAGAACTTTCTTAAATGGCAGGGAGTGGGGGTGACCCCTGGGGACTAAGCCTGTATTACATTTGATGTGCTTTATCATGACAAACCAGAATATATATGGTTTAGGGGTGGGGATCTCGACCATTTACAAGATATTAGAACTTTCTCAAAGGGCAGGGGGTCGGGATGACCCCTGGGGACTAACCCTGTATATCATTCAAACCATCTTAGCATAACAAACCAAAATATATATGGTTTAGGGGTGGGGATCTTGACCACTTACAAGGTATTAGAACTTTCTTAAATGGCAGGGGGTGGGGGTGGCCCCTGGGGATTAACCCTGTATTTCATTTAATGGGCTTTATCATTTAGAACATTTTCAATTAAAAATATTGTGTCTATCACAAACGGTTTTCAATTTATAACCATTTGAAAATTTTGAAAAATAAAATCCCATAGGGTTCTATAGTAAAACCCTCTTTTCTTTTTGCCCCTCAAAGTACCCCTTTATAAACCCCATTGCACACACAAAACCCTGATTGCACCACTAGACATGTTAGTCTAACATATTGTGAAACCCTAAGTTAATCTGACAAGCGGTTTTGGAGAACAGGTGCGGACAAGTTCAAATTTAAAAGCGGCGGAAGAGGAAGAAGAAGAAGAAGAAGAAGAAGAAGAAGAAGAAGAATAAGAACTGAGCAAAAACAATAAGTCTTCCCAAACTTCGTTTGGGAGACTTAAATATCAATTGGAAGGCTTAACTCAATCGAAAAACGTAAATTAACACACAATGAACGAATAAATTTGACCCGTGACACCTGAATGCAAATACACAGTTAATAAAAAAAAATACAAGGGATAAATAATTAAAGTCAAAAGTAAATAAACAGGTTTAAACAAAGTTAAAGTATGATATCACTGTGAAATTTCATACAATTTTTAGAAAATCATCACTTTTGAAGAAACCTGCGTCATATTATACACAGGTAAATGAAAATAATTTTGTTGTTGAGTATACTTCTTCTTCTGTGTGTACAAAATCTTCCGTTTAGGAATACCACGAAATTTCTTTAATATCAATAAAACTAATCTAACACTTGGTACATATGGGGTGAATATCAACAATAAAAATATACAATTAGTGCTAGATAAAACTTCCTGTATAGGTCCAAGAACAGCATCTAAGGAAAAATTAAATAATTTTGATGTTCATTGTACGAAGAAGTGAAAATTTGTAGTAAATTAAATACCAAATAATCAAAGCTGGTATATAGACAAGATCCATGTTTTAAAACATTTAATAACAAAAAAGCATTACAAATAGTATCAACAGGTCAAATTAAAAAGAAAGTACGATTTGAGAGTACTCGCAGTTACTGACTAGTTACTGCTAGTTAAAAGCCAAAACAATTAATAATAAAAAAATCACATTAAGAAAAAAATGAACGACTTCAACCTATTATGTGTTCCTCTCCTAGCTACAAAATGTATCCAAAATCATATAAAACACTGTCAAACATCCAATCATACTATCCACACTGATCTGTCCACACTTGTTCATTCAACAAAATATGCTTTATTTAGAGTTATTTTAAAAAAAGATAAATATGATTCACTGACAACTATCCCTCTTACCACAACCACTTACAGAGTGATAAAGTAACATCCTCTGTCATATTTATTTTTAAAGTGGTAATTGATTCAAGTGTAAATGAAGTGTACTCAAATGGGCTTTGTATTTTGAAATGTGTAACACTATAAATGACAGTTGCTTTACATTTTGCATTTCGAAGAAACTATAAGATACTAAAAGTGTAATCAAATCCCAAACGGACGAAAAACAGACAAAGCCTTTGCCAAAAGAATAAGGAAAAAGAGAAGTAGTTAGTCAACAAAACTCATTGACGAGTTACATTTAACCTACTAAATGTCAGTGATCAACACACAGGTTGTCAGTTCATGCTCGACCTTCCAGTTATAAATAATTTTCAGTGATCAATTATTTACCAAGAAAGAAGGATGTGGTTGTATTTATTATTGTACTTATAAATATATTATATCCATATAAGGGCACGGATATTTTGTAACGGTCAACCAAGCTATACAGACGACCTTTAAATTTGGGAGTGAGGACATCTTACCGCTAGTTCAGCATCTTCTTTGAAGGCATGAACAAAGTATTAAGAAAATACTAACAGGAAAGCACAATCTCTGAACCGTGTTATCAATTAAGAGAAAATAATTTGTATATGCAAATTCTGTTGGCATAGAAGATGCGCATAATGCGAAAAATGAAGATTCTATTCTATCATCAAGTTGAGTTATGTTCCAGCGCTCATCCCCATTATCTGTAGGCCAAGTAACCATATATTTACAAAATTTTAGCCAACTTACAATTCATCTTGTTTCCTTGAAAAGTAACTGTAAGGTTTTTATAATAACCAGTAAATTGAACTTCTGTTATCAATTTTTTTACAGGCTCTTCAGTGATTGGTTTTAATTTTTCAAATCTTGTTTATAATAAAGCATTGTGCATGTATATTAACACGCATATATTTTAAATGTCTATTTATTTTTTAAAACTCTGACGTAAGTTATTTTTGAACGTGTGTAAACTTGTTAACTTCCCTGTGTAACCATTACAATGTATTGGATCAATGTAAAACATAACGAGTGTACTACATCAGGAACATACAGACATAAAAGTGGGAATTACTAAAAAAGATGTATGCTCGATACCAAATGGAACATACCATGAAAGATCTCAATATAAAAATTAGAGGATGTGGTATGATTGTCAATGAGATAACTATCTACCATGCAGTCCCAATTGACGTAGATGTCAGCAAATATCGATCACCGTAATAACAATTTTTAATGAGGAAACTGGAACCTTATTTTCTTACAAGATTAACTGATATTTATATTGGAACATCACTGACGAGACATTAATTGTCGAAATGCACATCTGGTGCAGTAAAAGTGGTCTTGTTAATGGTATTTATACTACAACTGGGTCGATACGATGATGGTTGACTTTAAGTCCCTTACGAGCGTATCGCCAGCCCAGTTGTCAGTAGACTGAAAATACGGATTATTTATATTTTGATGTTTTAAAATTTCAAAGTAGTTTTAGATTAAGAGATGAATCTACCTCATGCATAACTCTCATTACTGATCAGAGTTTGGAGTTCTTTTTTTTGTCAGCTCTTAATATAAACAAGAAGATATGGTATGCGAGCCAATGAGACAACTCTCCATCCAAGTCACAATGTATAAGAGGTAAGCAATTATAGGTCAAAGTAAGGCCTTCAACACGGAGCCTTGGCTCACACCTTACAGCAAGCTATAAAGGGCCCCAAAATGACTAGTGTAAAACAATTCAAACAGGAAAACCAACGTTCTATATAAACAAGAAGATGTTGTATGAGTGCCAATGAGACAACTCTCCATCCAAGTCACAATGTATAAGAGGTAAGCAATTATAGGTCAAAGTATGCCGGGCCTTCAACACGGAGCCTTGGCTCACACCGAACAGCAAGCTATAAAGGGCCCCTAAATGACTAGTGTAAAACAATTCAAGCAGGAAAACCAACGGTCTAATCTATTTAAATCAAAGCACTGTAAGCGCTGTAGGCAGTTAACCAAAAACCAAGGCAAACGTAATTATGAAAACTGTGGGAGTCTTGCTTCAATTTTTTTTTAAGATTTGAAAAAAGAAACATTAAACATTTGTATATTGTACATTGTTTATTTAATGAAATGATTACTAAGGCAAATTAATTAATATTTTATCAAGGTTTTCAAAAGCAACGCATATATATATCATTCAGTATTAGTGGTAAAAGTTGACGAAGAATGAGTTTGTAATAGTTTGAACGGATTTGCTTCCCTGGAAGGAACACCGAATTTGGGTTCTTCAGTGCAAAAATTATGAAAAACAAATCAGACAAATGTTTACTACTACAGGGATCAAAGGTGAGGTCTGACTGACCTGCCCATAGTAAATGTAAATTACCCCCACCTTCACCCCAAGTCCATGATGTCACTCCATACCAAGTTTGGAATAAAATGACAGGTGATTATAAAACAGTTGGTCTAACATTCTTGGGCTTTACACTTCTTGAAAGATTCATATGTTTTCTTTAAAAATGAGCCATAAATGAAATAATTCAAAAAATATTTTAAGTAAATCCAATCAACCTAGACTCATTTTTAGCATCAATAAAATTTTATAATGAACAAGAAATAATTGTAACAGGATGCTGTGACTAAGTTTCCCTAACAAAGCTACCATAATTCGTCATTCCCATGGTCGCCTGGCATTGGACAGTTCACATTGGTTTGGTCTAGTAAAGTGATATGCATACAAATGTATGTAACGCCTAGGAGATTGACCCTGTTTGTCATTCAAATCTTTTTGAAATGACGAACAGGAATAAATAGGGTTTAGGAGTGGGCATCTCGACCGTTTACAAGTTCTCAAACAGGAGGGGGTGTGGTGACCCCCAGGGATTCCCCCCTTTATTTCCTTTCATTTGTTATACTGTTCCATACATGAATATATATAGTTTAGGGGTGGGGATCTTAACCGTCCTGTTTGTCATTCAAATCTTTTAGAAATGACGAACAGGAATAAATAGGGTTTAGGAGTGGGTATCTCGACCGTTTACAAGTTCCCAAACAGGAGGGGATGTGGTGACCCCCAGGGACTCCCCCTATATTTCATTTGATTTGTTATATTGTCCCATACATGAATATATATGGTTTAGGAGTGGGGATCTTAACCGTTTCCAAAGTTCTCAAACAGGAGGGGTGGAGTGACTCACGGGACTCCCCCTATATTTCATTTGATTTGTTATACTGTCTCTTCCATGAATATATATGGTTTAGGGGTAGGGATCTCGACTGTTTACAAGTTATCAAACAGAAGGGGGTGGGGTGACAACGGGTACTCCCCCAAATTATTTTCATTTTTATTGTTTTATTATCCCATACAAGAATATATATGGTTTAGCTATAGGGGTGGGAATCACAATTCACCCTATATTTTATTTGATTTATTTTATTGTCCTGTTCTCATTAATGAAGACCGTGTGTGTCTATCACTTACTGTTTTCGAGTAATAGTCATTTGAAAATTTAAAAAAAATCCCATATGGTTCTACAGTAAACCCCATCCCTTCTTTAGGCCCCTCAAAATACCCCTAAATAAGGCACAAACGAAAATTGATGGCTTACATTTTATGAAACCTAAGTAAATCTGACAAGCGGTCCGAGTTGTCTTGTTAGATGGGCCGAGTAGACTCCGTCCGACTTGTCTCCGGGACGAGTTGTTCCGCATTTCTTAAAACATCGACCAGTACGTCAATTTCCGTAAAAATAACATCAGAATCAAACGAACTTACGTTTCGTGTACGACTAATACCTGCAAACTTTCACGATTTAGGCGTGAACTACATGATATTGATCCGCTGTCCTGATTTCACGATCGTGTTCGTGAAAATAGATAGCCCCAAAACACGATACTTTGAAAATTACACGCAAAATATTTTTGTTTTCCCAAGGGAGGCAACTCGTGTTTAACAAATCTAATCCAATCAAAAGTCAGTGGTTACGCATTCACCAGTTGATTAATGGTACTATAGTAAACAATCAAAGAATAGAAGTTTTTTAAGTATTTAGAGTTGTTTTTTTTGGGCTTGGGTGTTAGAATTATTAAAATCGGAATTACTAATGACGAGC